CCTGGAATAAGAAACAAGTAGAGCAGACCTGAATCGGATGCACTGCCTGAATAGAGTCATCACAACCAACCCACAGATCAATGAACAAACAATAAAGATTTGTTCTTCTGGACACTGAGATCTGGGATCGTTTACTACACAATACTGAAGCAAAAGCTAGCTAATGCAGATCATAAAGTGATCTTAAGGAGAAGAGAAAAAGCAACAAGAGCTATTATTTCTTGAGGGCTTATTATACTGAACACTGAAGACTTTATTACACACACTCATTAATTATCCTCCTAACTCTACGAGGTGGCACAAGCAGTCCCTTCCAAGTCGTCCTACTCATCATATACTTTCGTAACCCAGTACCTATGTTCTTATAACTCACTTGGTTTGTATAATTTCTCCTGCCATGCTCTACCCTGAACCTGGCCTGATCCTACTCAACTATCAAGATTTAATTCACTCCTTACTTCCCATCTATAGCGTTCTGTGAGCACCTTTTCAAAGTTAGATATCACTTACCATGCTGCACTATAGTTACCTTCTTTCTTGTCTGTGTTTCTAAGATACGACCTCCATTCCCACACAGCTATAACAAGTACCAAAACAGTGCCTACACCACAGTAAACATGTTTCTGAATTAAAGGTTCTCTTCCAAGAAATCTCACTGGAAAATGTTTGTCTCCACCTGCTGTTCCTTCTTTCCATCTCCGTGCTTCCCTAAAGACAAGGGTTCTCCACTGAGACTATGGTCTATAGCTGCCCTTCAGGTCTGGAACTGAACCCACACCTGTGGCTTCCTGCTAAACAAAAGACAGGCATATCAGTTCAACATGTACCTGAGATAGATACACTCCTTGGAGAGAACAATCATGGCAGATAGAAGGGCTGTTTATGCACAGGGAGTCAGTTCAGGGGGCAGGAGTGCACGGAGGGATGGACACAGGGAAGAGGTATCGGGAGGAAGTGGGAGGGGAGCTAATGCATTGGGGTGAATTGTAGTCAATGTCATGAGACAAGTTGTGAACTGCTGCATGGAAAGTGAATTTGCTCTGTAAACTTTCACCCAAATCGCAGTTTAAAAAAAAAAAAAATCACCTAAAAAAAAGACAAGGGATCAAGGGATCTTTAAAATGTCTTCTCTGAGACATGAATAGACACTTCACCAAAGAGGATATTCAGGCATCCAACAAACATATGAAGAAATGCTCACAATCATTAGCCATTGTTGTTGTTGGTGTTATGTGCCCTCAAGTCAGACCCGACTCATAGTGACCCCTCCCCTTGGGTTTCCAAGGCCTTTGTTGTTGTTGTCCAAGGCCTTAGAGAGACGCAAATCAAAACAACAATGAGATATCATCTTGCCCCAGCACTAGTATAGTAGCAAAGTTCAACAAGACAGAAAATAACAAATGCTGGGGAGGATGCAGAGAGATTGGGACTGTCATACCTACTGGTGGGACTGTAAAATGGTACTACCATTGTGGAAAACACTATGGCAATTCCTTAAAAAGTTGGAATTAGAAATACCATTTGACCCAGCCATACCATTACTAGGTATATACTCTAAAGAAGTGAGAGCCAGAAGAAGAACAGATAAAAGCATGCCCATGTTCATTGCAGCACTACTTAAAATAGCCAAAAGAGGGAAACAACTTAGGTGTCCATCAATTGAAGAATGGATAACCAAACTATGGTACATACACACAATGGAATACTATGCAACCATAAAAAATAACGTAGGATCTGCAAAAGACCATATAATGTGTATGAACTTGGAGGACATTATGCTGAGTGAAATAAGTCACAGAAGGACAAATATTGTATTATCAGTCCATTATTGTGAAAACTCAAGGAAAGGTTTATATATGGAAGGAAATTTTCTCTGTTGGTTCCCAGGGGTGGGAGAGGAGGGGAGGGAACACTGCTAGATAGGTAGAGACAAGTATTGATTTGGGTGAAGAGGAGGGCAATATACCAAATGTGAGCAATCAACAAGGTGGTATTAAGGAAGA